GGACAAAATTGAAAGTGGAAAGACAATAATTCATTAATATAAAACTTGGTCATTAAAGGGAACAAATAAGTGCCCTGCTTTTCCAACACAATTGCTGTTTTAAGCCACATTCTAGCTGGTAAATGCAGAAGAAATCATAGGATTGGAAAATCATCATTTTGTAAACCACAATAAAATGCCTGTTTCAGACTGTGGTAAACTCCTTGGGTAAAATATAAAAAAAAAAAAACTTTTTTAATGGTTATTTTTGAGAGACAGAAAGACAGAGCACTAGTTGGAAAAGGGCAGAGAGAGGGAAACACAGAATCTAAAGCAGCTCCAGGCTCCGAGCTGTCAGCACAGAGCCCAATGCGAGGCTCGAACCCACGAACCATGAGATCATGACCTGAGCCAAAGTTGGACACTTAACCAACAGAGCCTCCCAGGTGCCCCTCGTTTATTTGTTTTTGAGAGAGAGCGAGTGAGCATGCGGGGGGGGGGGGGCGCAGAATGAGAGAGGGAGACAGAATCTGGAGCAGGCTTTGCGAGGTCGGCACAGAGCCCGATGCAAGGCTTGAGATCTGACCGGAGCCCAGGCTGGGTGCTTACTGAATGAGCCCCAGGCGCCTCCTTGGTGAGATACTGATGGCTCTTTCACGGTGGAGGGACTGGGCTGTCACCATCTGAACTTGCTGATTAATTTAGCGTCACTAAAAGTGAAAACCAGATGGGGCGCCTGGGTGGCTTAGTCGGTTAAGCGTCCGACTTTCGCTTAGGTCATGATATCGCAGTTCGTGGGTTCGAGCCCCGCGTCGGGCTCTGTGCTGACTGCCAGCTCGGAGCCTGGAGACTGTTTCAGTCTGTGACTCCCTCTCTCTCTGACCCTCCCCTGCTCACGCTCTCTCTCTCTCTCCTAGAAATAAATAAAAAAATACTATTAAAAAAAAGTGAGAACCAGATGTGTAAGCCCCAGTGTGGTTGAAGATCACACCGTCTGTAGAGTGTTCTAGGCAAAAATAGCACGTATCTGAACTCAGTCGTGAACTTCCAGTCTAAGGGAAAGAGGGGGCTCAGGAGATGGGGCTCATGCTGCCCCTGGCCGCAGCACCCCTGTAAGGACGCCGACCTGCCTCCAAACACAGGGGAGTGGGGAGGGGAGGGGTCTGGGGCAGACCTTCAGATACTTAAGAGAAATGACGAGCAAATACAATGAGGAGACATTTGGGGGCGCCTGGGGGGCTCCGTTGGTTAAGCGTCCGAATTCGGCTCAGGTCATGATCTCATGGCTTGTGGGTTCAAGCCCCACGTCGGGCTCCGTGCTGACAGCTCAGAGCCTGGAGCTGCTTCAGATTCTGTGTCTCCCTCTCTCTCTGACCCTCTCCTGCTCACACTGTCTCTATGTCTCTCTCAAAAATAAATAAAACATTTAAAAAAAAATTTTTTTAATGAGACATTTGGACAAAACCACAAAAAGATTTAAAATGAAATATTTGGTGAAATTTGCCCATTACTTGATAATAAAAAGTTATCCTTAATTTTTTTAGTTTGATAGCGGCATCTATTTGCATAAGAAAATGCCCTTTTCTGGGAGCACACACGGTATTGGGGGGACGGATGTGGTGCTCCAACGAGTGGGGGTGCGGGTGGGGGACCTGCTCGGGCAAGAGGCGGTGCTTCCGGAGACGTGTGATGGGTTGTGGGGCTTTGTCATGCTCTCTTGCTCCGTGTCTTTGGAATATTTTGTTACGAAGAGTTGAACGTCTGCAGAATCTGAGCGCTGTCATGTCACTTGCTGCCTCGCGCTGACCCGAGTCCCCTCTGCCCCCCTGGGTCGCCACGGCCTCCTCCTGTTCCTCTTCCGCGCTGGTCCCCTCAGCCACAGCGGCCTGTACGTCAGGAGGTGCTGACACTGCTTTGCTCCGCTGCCTCCCTCTTGTTTAGGAAGCGTCCACGCCCCCGAGCCCCCCCCCCCCCCCCCGGCCCCTGCCCGGAGCTGGTCCCCTGCAGCCCTGGGCCTGCACCTCCTTCCCGTCCCTTGCTCCATGTCAGCCTCCCTGGCCTCCTTGCTAGACCTTGACCCTGCCCCAGGATCTTTGCACTTGCTGCCCACCCCCCCCCCCACTTTAGCGTGTTCTTTGTTCAGGTGTCGGTCTCTCAGAGGGCCTGCCTGGCCACACCGCCTAGCCCTGTGTCCCTTCACTCCTGTCCCCTCCCTGACTGTGTGTTTCCTTAATGTTTGTCACTTACAAATTCACCAGACACGTTACTCAGTCGTTCTCTTGAGAAAAGCCCCAGGCTATGGAAACCAACTTGACAATAAACTATTTGTAAAAAAAAAAGAAAAAGAAAAAGAAAAAAGAAAAAAGAAAAGCCCCAGGAGAGAGGGGTTTTGTGCGCTCTGTTTGCAGCACCTGAAACGTGTGATGGGGTCAACGGTGCTACGGATTTGGGTGTGGGGACAGCAAGCACTGGCGCTCCACTGCCTGCCATCCAGGGAGGAGGCGGGTCCCCAGCGAGGAGGCGGGTCCCCAGCAGGAGAGAGGAGCTGATTTCGCATCCAAGGCCTTGAGAAGGCGAGAGAAGCGGGGTCTAGAGCAAGGGCAGGTCTCCCCAGTGGGGCGCACGCGGTGCAGGGAGGTGACGGTGTGGGGCCGGCCGGGTGTGGCGTTCCCTTCTCTGTTCCCAGTGAAATAGGAACCTGGGCGGCCAGCCGGGTGGGGGGGGGGGGCAGCAGAATCCAGGGAGGGCGGGGGGGGGGGTCTGTGGGGTCACGGCCCTGGGGGTGCGGTGGAGGCTGTGGGCCCAGGGGTGCAGGGCGCGGGCCAGGAAGGCGCATCTGGAGGCGGTGTGGCCACTCACGAGGACGGGGCGCAGGCGGTGGGGACGCTGGCGGTCCCTCGTGTGTGTGTGTCTGTGTCTGTGGCTTTTGTCCTCGACACACTCATAACCACCGTCAGCGTCCGCACGCGCACACAGCTCGTACGGGACGGAATTGCTGGTACGAAACCTGTCCATTCTGTGTTCTGTGGTTCAAGCTCATATTTTTCCAGTGTTTTCTGCCGTAACCAGAGCTGCAGGGGACTGGCCTGAATGTGTCCACGCGTGTCTCCAGGACGTGTGCGGGTGCGGGATCGGGGCCACCCACACACGCGGCGTCAGCAGGAGGGAAGCTGGTGCACCTCCCTCCCCCGCGGCCTCAGCGGAGACCCTCCCCGCCGCCGTCCCGCGTGCTCTGATCACCAGGGATTTCCCGTGAAGGTCACGGCATCACCTTCCACCTGTTTGGTGAAAAGTCCATGGTCAGGGGCGCCTGGGTGGCTTAGTCGGTTAAGCGTCCGACTTTCGCTTAGGTCATGATCTCGCGGTTCGTGGGTTCGAGCCCCGCGTCGGGCTCTGTGCTGACTGCCAGCTCAGAGCCTGGAGCCTGCTTCAGTCTGTGACTCCCTCTCTCTCTGACCCTCC